AAAGGAACCGTTTTTACTTTGGTTAGTGTTAACTTTAATGAGGAACGGAGGGAGCCACGGAGGCTTGATTTGTGACACATACATTGATTTCCCTTAATAAAAAGGAAATTGAGTAGTACTAGTGACGGCCCTGACCTTGCCCCTTGGTATGAAGGAGAAGAAATGCTAGTCTTTGTCACTCTTGAAGTTGCCCATCCTGATCTAAAAGATAATTGAAAGTACCCCCACTTCCCCCAAACTACAGACCACTCAGTGAATCTCAAAAACTTCCACCACTGGTAATATGCTAACATCATTATTGTATTATAATGTCTTTCAGAACAGAAATATGGAAAAGTTGAAGGTGTACGAAACTCTCAGACAACAACTGGATAATGGTATGTAATGGGCTTTCTGAAATGAAATTATATTAGATACAGTGTATCACCACAAATACATGGTTAGGAAGCTTCGGCTAGTTTTATTCACTTCTGCTTTGCCTGATTTGTAGATGAGATTACTCAAAAGGGCTTTGATGCCAGAGTAAAGGATGTATTGCTTGAACGTGGTGCAGAAGGAACATCAGGTATTCTGTTTTTTATCTTTACAGATTGGCAAGACTTATATTCATTTAATTCATTATCTTCTATATACTTTGTTTTTCTCTTTAACATTCTAGAGACAACATGGAAAATTTAACATGATTTAACAAAACTTGGACCGACTTATTATTTCTCTTGTTCCAAGATAAAAAATGGCTCCCATGGAGTGGAAACCAAGAACTGCTAAAACAACAGGAAGATATCAAAAAATCATCCTTGAAGAGGCCCCACCACGGATAACTGTCACAGGCACTGATGTGTATGATGAGCTCCTAAAACTTGGCCAGGAGACATTTTGGTCAGACGAGAGAGAGAGGGGAGTGTGTTTACTCTCTGCCAAGCAGATGGGATGAGGTGGACGAAGGAACAGTTCCATCAGGAATTTGGATCCGTGGCAGAGATCCCAAACGTCTGGAAGCAAACATTTTACATTGGACGTAGATAAATGGGTATTGTAATGTTGAAATTACATGGCATGTGTGTGTTATATATTGGTTACTGTTGATAAAGCGCTAATTGTCGGAGATTTTAATATTCACGTTGATACTACAAATGATGCATTAGGACTTGCGTTTACTGACCTAATAAACTCTTTTGGAGTCAAGCAAAACCTCACCGGGCCCACTCATCGTTTTAATCATACACTAGATTTAATTATATCGCATGGAATTGATCTTACTGATATAGATATCGTACCTCAAAGCGATGATGTTACTGACCATTTCCTTGTATCGTGCATGCTGCGTATTACTGATATTAACTATATGGCTCTGCGTTATCGTCCGGGCAGGACTATTGTTCCAGCCACCAAAGACAGATTCACAAATAACCTGCCTGATTTATCTCAACTGCTACACATGAACTAGACGAAATAACGGAACCGCTTCGCTCCCCTCCGCGAGACGGAACGCGACGCTGTGATCATCGGAGACTCCATCGTCCGGCACGTCCGTGCTACGTTAGCTGAAGGTAAGGTGCACACTCACTGTTTCCCTGGTGCTCGTGTTCTCGATGTTTCTGCGCAGATACCCGCTATCCTGAAGGGTGACGAGAGCCCCGGAGCGGTCGTGCTTCACGCGGGGGCTAACGACACCAAGCTGCGGCAGACGGAGACGCTGAAGAGGGACTTCAGGAGCCTGATCGAGACGGTGCGCCGCACATCGCCCGCGACGACGATCATCGTGTCAGGACCGCTTCCCATGTATCGACGAGGACATGAAAAGTTCAGTAGGCTTTTTGCTTTAAATGAATGGTTATTGTCATGGTGTAAAGAACAGAAACTGCTCTTTGTTAATAATTGGAATCTTTTCTGGGAGCGTCCTAGGCTGTTTCGCGCTGATGGTCTGCATCCCAGCAGAGTCGGGGCGGAGCTCATGTCGGACAACATCTCCAGGACGCTGCGCTCCATGTGACTAGTAAGTCAAATCTCAAATAACTGCCCTGATGACTTGTGTTCTACCCGCTTAAATGATAGAAGTACTTGTGCTGTCCAATCTATAAAGACTGTGTCTGTTCCCCGAATAGTGAGGTCAAAATATAAATTTAATGCAGGATCTAGAAAAAATCTGATCGTGATTAAACCAGAACAATTTAAAATAAATGAACAAAAACCATTTTTAAAGTTTGGGCTCCTAAACATTAGATCACTCTCACCCAAAGCAGTTATTGTAAATGAAATGATCACAGATAATCGTTTTGATGTACTCTGCTTGACTGAAACCTGGCTAAAACCTAATGATTATATTGGTCTAAATGAGTCTACTCCACCAAGCTACTGTTATAAGCATGAGCCCCGTCAGACTGGTCGTGGTGGTGGTGTTGCAACAATATATAGTGATATTCTCAATGTTACTCAGAAGACAGGATACAGGTTTAACTCATTTGAAATACTAATGCTTAATGTTACACTGTCAGATATGCAAAAGAAATCTATCGTATCTCTTGCTCTGGCTACTGTGTATAGACCACCAGGGCCGTATACAGATTTCCTAAAAGAATTTGCAGATTTCCTCTCAGACCTATTGGTTACTGTTGATAAAGCGCTAATTGTCTGAGATTTTAATATTCACGTTGATAATACAAATTATGCATTAGGACTTGCGTTTACTGACCTAATAAACTCTTTTGGAGTCAAGCAAAATGTTACCGGGCCCACTCATCGTTTTAATCATACGCTAGATTTAATTATATCGCATGGAATTGATCTTACTGATATAGATATCGTACCTCAAAGCGATGATGTTACTGACCATTTCCTTGTATCGTGCATGCTGCGTATTACTGATATTAACTATATGGCTCCGCGTTATCGTCCGGGCAGAACTATTGTTCCAGCCACCAAAGACAGATTCACAAATAACCTGCCTGATTTATCTCAACTGCTCTGTGTACCAATAAGTACACATGAACTAGACGAAATGACTAGCAACATGGGCACTATCTTCTCTAATACATTAGAAGCTGTTGCCCCCATCAAATTGAAAAAGGTTAGAGAAAAACGTACTGCGCCATGGTACAACAGTAATACCCATTCTCTCAAGAAAAAAACTCGTAGTCTTGAGCGCAAATGGAGAAAAACTAACTTGGAAGTTTTTAGAATTGCGTGGAAAAACAGTATGTCCAGCTATAGACAGGCTCTAAAAGCTGCCAGGGCCGAGCATATCCACAAACTCATAGAAAATAACCAAAACAATCCTAGGTTTTTATTTAGCACAGTGGCTAGATTAACAAATAACCAGACGCCACCCGATCTCAATATTCCCTCACAGTTTAATAGTAATGACTTTATGAATTTCTTCACTGATAAAATAGATAACATCAGAAATACAATAACAAATGTAGATTCTACAGCGTATAATACTTTAGCTTCATTCATCGCACCAAAAGATAAACTGCAGTGCTTTACAGCTATAGGACAGGAAGAGCTAATTAAACTTATTACTGCATCTAAACCAACAACATGCCTGTTAGATCCTGTACCCACTAAATTACTGAAAGAGTTGTTACCTGTAGCAGAAGAACCGCTTCTCAATATTATTAACTCGTCGTTGTCTTTAGGTCACGTCCCAAAACCATTCAAGCTGGCGGTTATTAAGCCTCTTATTAAGAAACCACAACTAGATCCTAGTGAACTGGCTAATTACAGACCCATCTCAAATCTTCCTTTTATGTCTAAAATTTTAGAAAAAGTTGTGTCTGCTCAATTGTGCTCCTTCCTGCAAAAAAATTATCTCTATGAAGAATTTCAGTCAGGTTTCAGGCCCCACCATAGCACAGAAACTGCACTTGTTAAAATTACAAATGACTTGCTTCTTGCGTCAGACCAAGGCTGTGTCTCATTGCTAGTTTTACTTGATCTTAGTGCTGCATTCGATACTATAGATCATGACATACTGATAGATCGATTACAAAACTATACAGGTATTCAAGGGCAGGCTTTAAGATGGTTTAGATCCTACCTGTCCGATCGCTACCACATTGTTCATTTAAATGGGGAGTCATCTCAATTATCACCAGTAAAATATGGAGTGCCACAAGGATCTGTCCTAGGTCCTCTGCTATTTTCGATATACATGTTGCCACTTGGTAATATTATTAGGAAATACGGGATTAGTTTCCACTGTTATGCCGATGATACTCAACTATATATCTCAACAAGACCAGATGAAACTTCTAAATTATCTAAGCTAACGGAGTGTGTTAAAAATGTAAAAGAATGGATGACCAATAATTTTCTCCTATTAAATTTGGATAAGACAGAGATATTACTTATTGGACCAAAAGACAGTACGCCGAATCTCGTGGATTACAATTTGCAACTAGATGGATGTACGGTTACTTCCTCTACAGTCAAACATCTGGGTGTTATATTAGATAGCAACTTGTCTTTTGAAAATCATATTTCCCATGTTACAAAAACGGCATTCTTCCATCTTAGAAACATTGCCAAGTTACGAAACATGATACCTGTTTCTGATGCAGAAAAGCTAGTTCATGCATTCATGACCTCTAGACTGGACTATTGTAATGCACTGCTAGGTGGTTGTCCTGCATCTTCAATAAACAAGCTACAGATAGTCCAAAATGCAGTGGCTAGAGTCCTTACCAGGTCAAGAAAATATGATCATATTACCCCAATTTTACAGTCTCTGCACTGGCTACCTGTTAAGTTCCGTATCAGTTACAAAATATTATTACTTGCCTATAAGGCCCTTAATGGGTTAGCTCCTGCGTACCTAACTAGTCTTCTAGCACGCTACAATCCATCACGCTCCCTAAGGTCGCAAAACTCTGGACTTTTGGTAGAACCTAGGATAGCAAAGTCCACTAAGAGCTTTTGAGCTTTTTCGCATTTGGCTCCCAAACTCTGGAATAGCCTTCCTGATACCGTTCGGGGTTCAGACACACTTTAAATCTAGCAGTTATATCTGATCAAATGTACATTATTATTCTTTAGCTTGGGTTAAACAAATCAATTCTGCTTGGTTAGAACAGCAGCTACGCTAATTATGTCTCTATTTGTTTATCTGTTTTTGCCGTAACTATAGGATTTACACAAGCTTCAGTCTGGATCCAGAACACCTGAGAAGAGCTGATGCAACTCCTCAGAGGACCTCAGATGATGCCAACCCTGAAACAACTTACACAACTACCAACTTTTGCTTTAAGTTTGATTGCATCATATAATAATTGCTGTAAATAGTGTTCATCGTCTGTTTGATTACATCTTTAATTAATTTTTCCGTACATTTCTGCCATATGTACATTAACTGACAGTCACCACTGATAAGCTACCACTAAATATTGTAGAAACAATATTATAATATTGTAATTAAATAAAACTTCATTTGCTGTAAAGTTGCTTTGCAACGATTTGTATCGTGAAAAGCGCTATACAAATAAACTTGAATTGAATTGAATTATATAAACTTGCTCTTGTGCTAATACAGTACCAATTGCATGTTGTATCTACAGATGTCATTTGCCTTGATGAAAACAGCTCAACATCACATATGTTCCATACGTTTTGATAACACATTTTAAGTCCTGTGTATGTTTTGTAATACATAACAGTTGCTCATTAATTATATTGTTTAGTATGTGTTATATTATAATATTGTAATTAAATAAAACTTCATTTGCTGTAAAGTTGCTTTGCAACGATTTGTATCGTGAAAAGCGCTATACAAATAAACTTGAATTGAATTGAATTATATAAACTTGCTCTTGTGCTAATACAGTACCAATTGCATGTTGTATCTACAGATGTCATTTGCCTTGATGAAAACAGCTCAACATCACATATGTTCCATACGTTTTGATAACACATTTTAAGTCCTATGTATGTTTTGTAATACATAACAGTTGCTCATTAATTATATTGTTTACTATGTGTTCCATTTATTTATGTATCACTCCCTTCTTTTCTCAGGAATTGGTGAAAGTGAAGTGGACTCCTCTATGGTAACTTCAGTTACTATACTTATATTTTTAAATAAAGTCTTACTAAAATATTACTGTTGAATATTTAGATGTTTAGATAACACTGATGATCTTGATGGTTGTTTGTAGGATTTCCAACCAAAGAGATCCAGAATTTTAGGAAGATGTACAGTCCAAAGTGTAGTGAGGGGCTTAGGTTCAGGCCAGCATGCTGAGAGATCAGAACGCGCTGATCAAGTTCCAGGTTCAGAAAGATCACTTTACATACATACATTTATTCATTCAGACAGACAGACAGACCAAAATGACATGCTGATCCAAATTCAGACTCATCAGTTTCAGTGAGATCCACTAGTGCTGATAAATCATTAAAGGGTTAGTTCACCCGAAATTACAGATTACAGTAACCATGGATGTCCAGCTCCAAAAAAGAGCACTCTCAAAAGCCATGTAATAGGTTTTAATGTGGAAGAGAAACTAGATCAATAAGAATCTTGGTCAATTGTTATTTTCCATTTTGAATATTCAAAAAGGTTCTTATTTCATTAAAACACAAAGATAATCAACAACATGCTTTTTGACTATGAAGAAAGCTTCAATAAATGTCAAGATTTTAAGAATAATGAAAATTAGTGCATTTATCACAAAAAAACTATTATATTACATTACTATGCCATTCCTTAATGATGTGTTTAATTTAGTTACAATGTTTATTCTTAAGGTTTGTAAACCTCTAAAGTAAACAGTAATGTTAAATTGTCATGTATTTCCGTTATATGCATAAATCATGCATTTCATTAGGTTAGTTTAGGTTAGTAGTTAGGACCTCTGTCAAGACAGTTTACATAAATTTAAGTAATGTACACAGCAACATAAAACTTTGAAAAGGATTGCGGTCTGTGAGCTCATGATTTACTTAACTTAATCAGTCCACTGTTGTACTGTAACCGTTACTCCTGGTCAAAAACTTCCATAATTGTATAGTTTATATGTGGGATTACTTATTTACCACTAAGTGTAATGGTGAAAAACATTAATATTTATCAATGCATAAAATGTAGTATTGCATAAAAACTAGTGCCTGTGACTGAACCCAGAATACTTTAAATATACTTCATAAATTGTGTGTATGTCTACTTTTTGTCCTTCTGGAGCTTGACATCTGTGGTCATAATGAACTGCCTTTGTGTAGAAAATGTTATAAACATTGTTACTTTTTCCCTTTTGTGTTGTCAAACTCATGGTAACAGACATGCAACAGTTTGTGTAGTGCGAGAGTCAATGTAACAAAAGGGTGACCTCTGGTGGCGATCAAACGGAAGATTCGTGACAGTATGGACTCGCTTGTATTCTACAGGCACACACTCCCGATGGTAGCTGCCAATGTTAATATGGTGGAACAGGCCACTGCTTATTACAGACCTTCGACGAGGCTACATTTCAGAATTAACGATATTAGGAATTTGTATTTTTTATATCTGGCTATGCCACACCACCATTTACCCACCCATTGCATTCCCTGAGCAAGTCAGCAAAGGATCAGCACTTGTTAAAACAAATTGTGGTTATCACAAACAGTATGGGCATAAGCAAGAAAACAAAAAAACGTGGGGTTAATGAATCAACCTTAATTCAATCGCAATAAAAATGCATGTACTTTACACCTATTAGTATATGTACTGCTGCACTTGTGTGATGTTGTGATCTTGATGTATTTGAAATAATATGTTTAAGCTTTATTTGGTATATGAGAAATTTTCTTTCTCCAAACCCACTGCTGTCTTCACAGCTTATCTCAGTTGCAAAAAGAAAAAGTCAGGTATGTAAATAATGTTTGTAGGGTAATTATTGGTGGTTCTGGTAACTTATGTATTACCATAGCTCATTAGTCAAGCAGATTCTCTTAAGGAATTGAACTAATTAAACTGAATTTAAAGGAGACCTATTATGCTCGTTTCCCGTTTGATATTTTAATTCTGATACTCCACTAGAGTAAATTTTGCATGATCCATAGTCATGAAAAATCCTTGTTTATCTTAAACTGGGCACTCAGTTCATCATTTGTCAGAAACAAGTCGTTTTAGATTGAGCCTTCTAGAAGCCTACTATGGTTACTATTAGGGATGCACCGATACCGATACTGGTCTCCTGTACTCGTACTCGTTAAAATGCCCCGATACCAAACGCCGATACCACACAGCATGTGATAAGTGCCATATTCAGACAAAGAAACACCCACAACAGACAGCAGAAAGGAGTTAAGGATGTCTACTACAAAGTATATGTATGCACTAAATATAATGTTAAACATTCAGTATTAATGCCTGTATAGCTGAAGTGAGTGAGCTGATAAACAAAGCATGCTGAGTGGATTGAGCACGCGGCGGCGCACATGCGCGAGCTTGTCGAGTTAACATACCTTTCTCACACACATCACAGGAAAGTTTGTAGTTCAGGCGGATATGTCAAAAACAAGTAAGTAAAACAATGCACAAGTTACTTAACGGTAGGGAGAGAGAGAGAGAGAGAGAGAGAGAGCGCAATTCTGTTGTGTGATCTTTGATGTTCCCTCACTTAGCACGCGCATCATTTGGATTAAAACTAAATTGTAAAAATAAGACCATTTATAAGGGCATTCACTATAAACATCATTTATTTTCAACCTTAGGCATACATGACTTTCTGGTGAAAGTGAATCTAGCAGCTTGTGTGAAATGCGCTCGGCTGTACTATTCTGCATCAGTACAAATACGTGCAGGCGTTGCGTGTTTTGCTTGCTTATTTCTTAATTAAACAAACAGACTTACTGGGTGAGCAGGGTAGGCTAAGACAGCTGTCATATCATACCCTGCCATGCCCAGCTGATGCAAAGAATAGAATTTATATCTACACAGAAGAAAGCCCTGTCTAGACTCTGCCCCGGTATGAGTTGTGTCGAGCTATTCATTAGCCTGTTTGTTTGATGAAAAAAGATTAAATGTAGTTGCAATAAATGTGTTAAGAATCCATACAACTGCAGCAGCTGAGGACTATTATTCTGCTGCATGATACTGCAGAAGAACTGATGACGGCACGGATTGATCTTCGGCTGACCAATCAGCAGAAAGGGGTGTTTAATTCCCGCCCACATGTAGAAATCGAATATTCAAGCTGTTTATTCATTTTTCCACCCATGAAAATTTACGAAAATGTAAGCTGAATTCTTGTTTTTCGTTTTTTTTGGGATAAAAACGAAAAAACAAAAAAGGAGCCGTTTTCTAATTTTTCTACTTTCAATATTAAATAAAAAAACGAATGATCGAATGATACACGGATTGTTTCAGATGAAAAAAACGCGACTTCTATTTCTGAAAATATCACAGTTAGGAGATTTATAACGAGTGGTTCCCTGCATTATTACAGCAAAGCGTGTGATTACAGTACTGAGCCGCTGCAATGGAGCAGCTATTACAGTAAAGATTATGTACCATAGAGCAAAAAAATGAACAGTGAAAGTAACAAAAACTTGTAAAATACATTTTAATGGGCATAATTAAGTGTGAAAATAACTGAAGGATATACAGTCAAACCAAACATGATTCAGAGACCAGGTATCATTTTTGATATTTTTTTTACTAGGGGGTGCAGGACACTATAGTTCATTTATGTAAGTGAGGATAGCAAAATAAAGTAAACTGTGACAAATAATACCCAAAAATTCTTCATACAGTGGACTACCAGTAAAATTGATACAAATTTGGGTCCAAAAATTATTCATACCGGTTGCCCGACAAAGTATTGATAGTTGTGTAAATACTGTCACACTAACAGCTGTCTGAATATTTTTTGGTTTATTGTAATCCATTACATAAGTGAAGTGAAGTGACGTGACATGTGGCCAAGTATGACCCATACTCGGAATTAGTGCTCTGCATTTACCCATCCAAAGTGCACACACACAGCAGTGAACACACACAAACCGTGAACACACACCCGGAGCAGTGGGCAGCCATTTTATGCTGCGGCGCCCGGGGAGCAGTTGGGGGTTCGGTGCCTTGCTCAAGGGCACCTCAGTCGTGGTATTGAAGGTGGGAGAGAGCGCTGTACATTCACTCCCCCCACCTACAATCCCTGCCGGTACGAGACTCAAACCCACAACCTTTGGGTTATGAGTCCGACTCTCTAACCATTAGGCCACGACTTCCCCACATACCTTTCTATCAAAGTTATCTGACATTATCAAGCTGAATTTGTACTGACTCAGTTTAACTCTTGAGTTTTTGTCATAACCATTTTCTAAACTATAGTGAATAAACTGTGATAATGTGAGAAATGTTGAAGGTGACTGAATAAATTTTGGTTTGACTATCTATTTGATAAATGAAGTTAACCAACTAACATTGTACATACCCTTTTGGTTTCTGTACCCTATATTTAAAAAATTGACAAATGCAATAAAAATATCGTTATCGTTACTCTGTATCGGCAAGAACCAAAAATAAAAGTATCGGTATCAGGCGAGTACTGAAAAAAGTGGTATCGGTGCATCCCTGGTTACTATTCTAATGAGCCTGCATGTAATGTAAAATGTGGAGCCAAATATAAACAGTGTATTTGCGCACACATTTACTATAAGAGAGAGTATGGCCTTTTCTCATATTTTGGGGGTCTCTAGATGCACCTGGGACACATACAGTCATGGACAAAAATATTGGCACACCTGCATTTCTGTCAGATAATAAATGCACTACTTCTCCCAGAAACTTGTTGCAATTACAAATTGTTTGCATTGGAACAACACAAAAAAGCAGAGAAAAAGCCAAATCTGAGATATTCTACACAAATCTCCAAAACTGTACTGGACAAAATTGACACCCTCAACTTAATATTTGGTAGCACATCCTTTGGAAACAATAACTGAAATCAATCGCTTTCTGTAACCATCAGTGGGTTTCTTACAGCTCTCCCCTGTAATTTTGGACCACTCTTCTCTTGCCAACTGCTCTAGGTCTTTCAGATTTGAAGGGTTTCTTCTCAAGATCTCTAGACAGGTGCTCTATGGGATTTTGATCTGGACTCATTTCTGGCCACTTAAACCTTCCAGTGCTTTGTCTTAAAGTATGTTTCAAAAAGCACCAGAAAATGGTTTGAGTCATTGCCCTGCTTTAAGACCCATTACCTCTTACGGAGACCCAGCTTTCTGACACTGGGCCCTACATTGCGACACAGATTTATTTGGTAGTTTTCAGATTTCATGCCATGCACACAGTCAAGACATCCAGTGTCTGAGGCAGCAAAGCAACCCCAAAATATGAAGTGAAGTGTGGCCAAATATGGTGCTCCATACTCAGAATTTGTGCTCTGCATTTAACCCATCCAAGTGCACTCACACAGTAGTGAACACACACACGGAGCAGTGGGCAGCCATATTGCGGAGAAGTTGGGGGTTTGGTGCCTTGCTCAAGGGTTTCACCTCAGTCGGGGTACTGAGGGTGGAAGAGAGTGCTGGTTATTCACTCCCCCCACCTAAAATCCCTGCCGGACCTGAGACTTAAACCCGCAACCTTCGGGTTACAAGTCCAACTCTCTAACCATTAGGCCACGACTGCATGGCTATTAGTGAACCTCCACCATGTTTGACTGAGGGACAGTGTTCTTTTCTTTTGAAGGCCTCATTTCATTTTCTGAAGACAGTTATTTTTGGTATAGCACATTATTGTACTGTTTTAGTCTTATTTGTCCACAGGACATTCTCCCAGAAGGGCTTTGGCTTCCTCAGGTACATTTTGGCAAACTCCAATCTGGATTTTTGTTTCTGTGTCAGCAGCGGGGTCCTTCTGGGTCTCCTACCATAGCGTCCCTTTTCATTCAGATAGCGATGGATAGTGCAAGCTGTCACTGCTGTACCCTGTTCCTGCAGGTCAGCTTCAATTTGTTTGGAAGTTGACTGAGGTTCTTTATCCACTCTTTGATCAATCCTTCATTGCAATCTTTCATCAATTTTTCTCATACGTCCACATCCAGGGATATTAGCTACAGTGCTATGGGCTGTAAACTTCTTGACAGTGTTGTGCACAGTGGAAACAGGAACATTAAGATGTCTGGAGATGTACTTGTATCCTTGAAACTGTTCATGCTTTTCCACCATTTTTGTTCTCAAATCCTCAGACAATATTTCACTTTTCTTTCTTTTCTCCATACTCAGTGTGGTACACATAGACACACAACAGAAATGTTGCACATTTTCCCACATTTTAACCGGTTGCAAGTGTGATTTCTATATTGCCAGTCCCTATGCATTGCTACAGGTAGTTTAATTACAAATTAAAGGAGTATCACATGCTTAGAATACAATTATTTGCCAATATTTTAGTCCAGTACATTTTCTGTGCAGAATGTCTCAGATTTGGCTTTTTTCTCTGCTTTTTTGTGTTGTTCCAACGCAAACAATTTGTAATAGCAACACGTTTCTGGGAGAAGTAGTGCATGTATTCTCAGTTGTGAGCTGTGGCTCAGCAGTAGTATGGTTATTCAAGCAAGCATATCACATGGGAACTGAGAGTAGTTCGGTTCCATGGTACAAGTTAAACCTGCTTCAATTTGTAATTAGTGATAAACAACACTTGTCATCCTTGCAGGTCTGGTCACTACTGAAAGTCTGCAGAGTTGTGTGTATTTTGTTCCTACTCTAAGAAATATGTGAAACATGTTTTTGATGTTCACAGATTGCTCCTACCACACTCGCCTAGAGGCTTTCCCCATCAGGAGTGTAGTAAGAGAAAGAGTGAGAAAGGTTAGACAGTCATAAAAGAAATGTATAGTGTAGACCGTATGCAAAGTGTAGTCCTTCCACAAGAGTCCTTCCATTGTGTTCATCAGGAGCTGAGTTCCACATTCATCCAGATCTCTGCGTTGCTATTCACTCCTTCACCACCACCAATGTCTAGACTCCATGGGGGGATATTCCTTTTCATATCATGCATTTCCCTTCTACTTTTCAAATAATGGCATCTCCATGTGGTCTTATTGCCAAAGACTAAGGAGTTTCAACTTATGCACCTTGTCAAATTAGTTTGATCGTTCTTTAAGATTGCAGTCAATAATTAAGCAATAAATAAATAAGCATCTGGTGTTTTTTCACTTGTATGTATAAACACTTGCAAAAGATTATAATTTTTCCATACATATTAATAAAAAACATGACAGTGATAGGGTTGAGAAAAAAGTAGGCAAAAGAAACCACCTACACTGAGCATATTTATGTGAGGAATTTGTTTAACTTCACATCAAATTGATTTACTAGTTGTTTTGAGTGGATTATTTTGAAATGACAATTTGGGGTAGCATATAAATTAATTATAAAGATACTTATCTGGATCACCATGGTTCTAGATACTAGAATTGACTGAACAGTTTTTGTCACTAAAAGACAACTATTGATTTATTGTGAAGGTCTGGGGAGTAGGCTACGCACATTTTGGAAGTTTTCATTACTGGGGTTCCTACTTATTGCTCCTAATACTTGCATATGTATAAGCACAGAGGCAGTTTATTACATTCCTGAGGGGGCTAATTAAACATATTCAGGCCATAATTACAAAAAAAGATTGCACAACTCGAAATAATTTCTGCAGTAACTACCCCAGATGAACTGATATCCTGAAGATTTTTTCATAATATCCTGACGATTATCTTAATAATATGTTTCGGCTGTAGGAGACTGTTGATATATTTAGTAAAGATACATTTTCATAACCCCATTCCCACTGAAAACTGGAAGAACTACAAATATGGTGGCTGATATGTACGCTTCGTAAGAGGTTTTATCGCGCGTCTCTACTGGGACTTGTAGTTGATAAATATATTGGAGACGGCCCTGACTTGGTTGTTCTACAATAATGGTTAAATATCTCCAATGAACAGACATCCTGTGTTTTTTTTTCATCTTGATCATCTAAATGCAGTATAATGTATGTTTCAGCTGTAGGAGATTGTCGACATGTATAGTGAAGATACATTTTTATAACCCTAACCCTAACCTACTCTGGAAACTGATAGAACTTCAACTATGCACGCTGATTTGTACGCTTAGTAACAAGTTCAGGGGTGCGTCTCTACTGGGAATTGTAGTTTTTAAATACATTGTTATATTCCCCATAATTAGAAGACGGCCATATCAAATTGCAGGTACTCCTAGGGGTTTTAGGGGGTGGGAAAGACATTGGTGTTATCAGATTTTAAAAGTGTAATTGTTAAATGGGAGAAAATTGCTTTTGGGCTATTTTTGACAGCACCCCCAGTTGGTGCCCAATAATGACTATGCTCACATGATAGCTGGGGTCCAGAGGTCTCTAGAACAGTTGGTCCCATGTCTGTAGACCTTCTTGTTGCTGGATTATAAACCTTCAAACATGGTCAGAGTTTGAGGTTCAAAGGTCAGTATTTAGAAAGCAGGAGCCATGTAGAATCTTCATACTAACATATGTTACTCTGCAGGCCAAGACCAAGACATTTCCAATGATATATTTGGTTTAGCTCTACGATAAAGTTCTAATTTTCTAATTTCATTTACACAAGCTGCTCCAGCCCTGGTTTCAGAGAGCACTTTGAAGGCCCAGTATATAAAAGTAAGCCTTTTGTTTGTTTTTCCTTTTTATGTGGAAATAGTGACCAAAATGAGTCACCTTCAGAGTTTATACAATGACAGAATCTGTTTTATTAGCCAATGTCTTTGGTTTAGTCCTACGACAATGTTTTAATGGACATGACTTTGCCCAGGCATACCTTCACAGAACCCTTTGTCAAAAATAACTTGAGGTAAAATTGGACATGGCCAAATTTTTTAAATTATTTTCATGATGGCAAGATCTATGTTTACAGCCTCAACACAAGTACTGCAGGTCTTCCTCCGCGTGTGGTGCGAGAGTCAATGAAAAGGAAAGTTCATGGACCGGATTCGTGACACCTATAGTAATGCACTTTTATTTTAATTCAAAAAGGTGATTAATTTTGCTCACTATTTCTGCTAGTTCATTAAAAGGATAAACCCCTTAAGGTGAACCATCTAGTTTTCATGGGGGTCCTTAACAAATATGCAGAAACTTATGAGGGGCCGTATAAGCCATAATTATTTAAAAGCCTCTTACAAACACTAGTGAAACGAAAAACATTCATCAACCTTAGTGAAATTCATTCATACACAACTGAAAACCTCTTACAGACACGAGTGAAAACATTCATCAACCTCAGTGAAATTCATTCTTACACATAACTGAATTACCTCTTACACACACACGAGTGAAAACATTCATCAACCTTAGTGAAATTCATTCATACACAGCTGAAATGAGAGAAGATTTCAGTAGTTGATGAGAGCTAATTTCACTTGAAACGGAAGCCATGTCCACATTTCCGTTTAATTTGGCGCCGGCGCGTGTCTCACAAAATGGTTTGGCAATGGCAGATATTCGAAACGAGTTGTCTGAGGCTATTAATATTTTAAACAATATTTTACAATCACCAAAGACGATTCCTTCCCTCACATCAATATTGAATGCTCAGCGAAGTACCGTTAATGTTTCCGCAAATAACGAAGGCGTGGAAGATGAGATCAGAAATGCATTTCGTCCAGCCGCTTTCAGACTCGCCAAAGCTTCGGAGCCTGGCATGAATCAAAAAGAAATAAAAAGAGGTGAGTACATTAAAGTATTCTTAAACATTTGATTAACGTTATATGATTATATGTATGATTATACAGACAGACAAACTAAATAATTAAATTTCACTTCAAATAATATTTTTCCAAAGCTGCTTTTGTCATTTTATATAGTTTTTTATCACGCTGATGTAAGTACAGTTGTTCGTTTTTAAATAAGTTTGGTTTTAGTTAGTTATGTGATGCTTTAAAAACGGGAGTATGACGTCATGGTAGACAGCTTCTCTGAGCGGACTGACTCTGGTCCCAAATCAACGCAATATTGCCTCACCCTATTGGGACATTGGCATTAACATTAAGATATAACCATTTGTGAGTTTAAGCTTATTTACAAAGGTTATATGTGTGTGTGTGTGTGTGTTTTACAGTGCTGCCAAAGTCTGGCTGTTTTGCATAGTTGATTTTACTTGTATGCATTTTCAAACGTCAGTGCTGTTCATCATAGACTTGAGAACAGAATAAGAATTCATTGCCATTCAATTCATCTTTTTAAGGCCTAGAAGACAATTTTACCAGTCTTTTAACAAGGATGTAATTCTGCTGCCTTCACCAACATGGGACAAGACATGCAAGCAGTCCACGAAGAGAATGTTGTATCAGAAAGGACACATCCTTAGTGCTTTTGAGTTTCAAAAAGAATGGGATTACAGCACTGCTATGTCCAAATTACAAGAAGCATTGAAAGATTGCTTGCCATCAGATGTCAGGTATGTAATGTTTTCAGAACGCATTTCATTTCTCACACATCTTTTGGCATACAATGCACTTACTTCCTAAAATGGGAAAAAAATAACAATGATGACCATGATTTACAAATGAATGAATATGCCAGTAAGTTGTACTGCTGCTAATTGTTAAGAAATGGGTGTTGATTCTTCCATGAAAGTTTAGTTAGGCTATAATTATTTTAGTTTAGCTGTAATTTCTAAAACATCTGTGATTTAACCACAGTCGCTACCGGACAATATCCTTGGACGGTTTTGGGACCCATTTTTTTCCATCAACTGAAATCAAATTGATAAATGTTCTTTTACAAATTCGTTGCTTGACATTTGCTGTTTTTGCTTATTCATAGATTAGAGCTCATGATGCCTTGTGGAAACAATTTAGTTGCACCAAAGGTGTGTGAAGGCCAGGAGCTGAGTGGACAACTGATTCACAAAGTCTTTAAATCAAAGACCCTGTACCTAAGGCCATCAAAGGAAATAGAGGTATGGCATACTTTTAAACAGGGCCGTAACCACAATAGACAAGTCCCCCTCAATAATTACAAATGGCCAAACTGTCCTCCCCCAATATTTGCACTGATCTGCTGCCCACCATTATGCAGCACTCTTGTTATACGAATGATAATAATTACACCAAAAACATGGTTGCAACACGTTTACTATAAAACCATGGTTAATTTTCTTAAGTGTTTTAGCAGCCATATCAGTACCACTTTAGTGAAGGAGACTGAATGCTATGTAATGAATATTTGCAGCTTCTCAGACACACAACAGTGTTTTTTTACTACATTTTTTCTGTGGTAATTTGCATTTGTTTACACTGTGCTTCTGAGCATGTTCCAAAACATGGTGGAATGCATTGCTCCGTGACGTAGATTCCCATTTTCTATATGAAAGTTGGTCCCCCATGTTCAAGACAAGGTTATGGCCTTGCTCTTAAATGACTACTTGATCAATTATTTTATATTATAATGTGCTGTCTTAGTGCAAGTCTATTGTGTGTGTGTTGTTTGGCAGCGTGACTCCTTTTGTGGTGACAACGGGAAAGATGACAGTACAGACTCTGAGTCAGTAACTGAGATAACACCTCTAGAACATTGCCACAGGACCACTGAATTATGTTCTCCACCTATTGCTGAGCCTGTTCCTACACAGCCTTCTACATTACTCTCATACTCAACAGTGCCTTGCAGTTCATGGGCAACTACACCATCCACTTCACCAGGGCATTCTCTTGAGCAGGCTTCAACATCTTCAGCTCCAAATACAGTGAACTATGAGATAACAAGCCATGATGATTACAGTGCCTATCTGTCAGTGATGACCTCCTTCTCAGACTTTTCCTCAGATGATGAAGATCTTAACCAGGCAATTCTTGCCAGCATTGAAACACATCGGTAAGTACATCATAAGTATCAACTAACTATGCTGTTGTGAGTTATATTAATCAGGGATAAGCCACAGCTAGCTGTGCATTAAAGAACTGCCTGATGTGAAGCGGATGGTGGTTGCCTCTGCAAATTGTATTAAAATTGGTTAATGCACATCTAGTCATGGATTATCGCGCTTATACCATGGTCATTTGCCAACACTGACAAGTTGAAACTTATTGATGTTTGTAGTGCAATATTTGACCAGAAGGGTAAAATGTATGGTTATTTTTTATCAGTTACGGCTCATTACATCCAGCAGATCTAGCATTAGATCTGAACTGACTTGAAACTACCTGTGTAAAAAAATGGTTTTATTGCACACCTTCCAGCCAGTCAGAATGGAGTATTCAGACAGACCATGGTATAATTGCATTGAGCACTGTCTACAAATCATAGCATTACAGAGTTCCATACCTGCTCAAGTGCTTTTCAGAGTTGTGGTTGAACATTTATTGTTAACTTTATTTTTTCTTTCAAATTGTGTTGATAGAAACTTTGAGGATGTTCCTGTTAAGAATATTCTTTTGGACCTGGTCTCCAACATAAACTACATTTCACACTGCAGGTTTCACATAAACCGCTCAGCAGTGCTTGAAGGAGCTATTCAAGGTTTTACCCGAATCAACTATAACCCCTCCAATGCAATCTCAGTTAAATTCTCGGATGACTCCGGGAGGCATGAGGAAGCAGTGGACTTAGGGGGACCACGCAGAGAGTTTTTAAGGCTCCTCATGCAAGCCTTCAAAGACAGTTCAATGTTCGAAGGCAATGAGCAATCACAAAATCTTGCTCTTGATAGTTGTGGTATGTTCCCCCCCCCCCCCCCCCCCCTTTTTACTACTGATAAAAAAACAATCATGTCAATTAGTAAAAATGCATTACTTGACTCTTACTTGACATGATATACTGCCATTGAGATAGCAGGTGTTTGTTTTTAAGGCTTTTCTGTTAGGAGGGTGTTTAAGATTACTGATTAGGTTTACAGTTTAACAGGTTTGTTGTTGAACTGTGAATTTTCTTTCTTGTCCTAAATGTAATTTTTTTTTTCTTCAGCATTAAGAGAGAACCGCTATTACATTGCGGGACAAGCAATTGCTGTAAGTTTAGTCCATGGGGTGCCTGCTCCAGGATTTCTATCACAGGTACTGTTCTCCTGTTTGGTCAATGGCCCGGAGTCCGCAAAACCCACACTGGATGACATTTCAGATTCTTGTTTAAATGAGAAGGTCAAAAAGGTATTTTGAGCTTTGCCTTAATTTCAGAAGGTTATTATTATTAATATTTTTAGTTTTTGTTCTTCTTCTTATTGTTGCTGTTGTTATTATTGTTATTTTGTTTTTAGATTCAAGATGCCACAAATTGTAAGGAGCTGTTAGAGGCAACAGAGCCATTGTTGGACTACTTGCTGACTGCTGGATGTCTCAGGCCTCTGAAAAGCGTTGAAGACCGTGATCTTCTTGTACATGACATCTTAATGCTCCAGACTGTCCACAGGCTCCAGAGAGCATTTGAAAGGTAACCTGTTTAGTGTTCAATTTGAAGCATATTTTTCTTGTTTTTTCTGTAGCTGAGAACAAAGAGTTTATCATTTATTTCACAAGAGTTCTTATGTCGTTTTGCTTCTTAAGTAAATGTATCTCGATTTAAAGGGATAGTTCACACAAAAATTTAAATTCTGTCCTTACTTACACTCATGAGTAATATCTTAATTTGTGTTCTGAAGATGAATGAAGGTCTTATGGGTTTGGAATGACATGAGGGTGAGTAATTAATGACCGAATTTTCATTTTTGGGTGAACTAACCCTTTAAGATCCATTTAGATATTTGCACTGGAAAACAAGACAGAACTACCGAAAAAGAACATCACTTTTCTTGCAGTGTGATCAGAAGGTATAGTGGAAATTATTTCCATAATCTAGTGGTTGGGAGAAACTACTGTCTTAACCAACTCATTGCTAACCTCCAAAGCTGGTCAAAAGTCAGTGTTAAACCAGTGTAGTGTGTTTGGAGTGTTTTGATGGCACATGTGATCACTGTTCTGGCTACTGTTCTGCAAGAGAAATGGCTCAGAATCCCTCTGGCCACTGTGCAGGACTTGCATCTGTCGTTCTTAAGATGAGTTTAGGCTGACCAGTCAGTCTAACCGGAATTCTATTCTTATGGTCAAGTAATTTCGGATAGATCGTGTTTACAAGTTGAATGCACATGAACGCCACCACTAAGTCGTTATTACGACTGGGAAACTCTACATTTTCTTAACTGAACTGAGTTGGAGGCGTGACAGTGATAAAATGTGTCGGATGCAATAAATGCATTGTGCAGCCAAACACTATAGATACGCAGCGTCTGTATTGACGGTACATTTTTTGCAATGAATAAAATTATAATTTTTTGTCAAATAAAACTATAAGTTAAATATACAAAATATTATATTATTGTATTGCTATTGTTATGATAGTGACAATTTTTTCTGTGTGTCTGTCTTCCCTATATAGATTCAGAGATGGAATGAAGACATTGGGTGTCTTGGATGCAATTCAGCGTCATCCGACTAGCTTTCGCCCCATTTTATGTCATGAGCCAGCTCCTCTAACTGCAGACGTACTTGAAGGGCTTTTTGAGATTCGCCTGTCACAAAAGGGTAGCATAAGAGGGTGCAAGAAGAGGTCGTTGTTCCCTTTTGGCGAGATTATATTCAGGACATGGAAGGTGGGTTATAATTATATTTATTGATTATAATATATAATACAATTCACAAGGTCAGAAAAAATATTAACAATACCGATATATTGCAATATCTATAGAAAAATAAATAAATAATGCTTTCATATTTATTCTTTTTTTCCCCCAGAATAAAAGTTGCATAAAAAGAACAATTAAACTTAATGTAAACAGTTTGAAATAACCCTCTGTGAACTGATATGGCCTCTTATGAATGTGTTCTACTTAACCCATGCAGGCCTGGCTTTTGCCAGAGTGCTCACTGAAAATCCGTAGTGGCATTGTTCAGGATTGGTGGCATCCTTCCCCTCAAAATATTTAACAAACTAGGTCAAAAATGCAGTGTTATGACTAACTTACAACTTTGAACTGTAACAACTAAATTGTTCAAACATTGCATGGTGTTTATGTAGGGCACTGATATCAGCCCTTATTGTAATTTTGAATGCACCCTGAAACATAACAGAGAAATAGCGACTCTAATTGGGCAGAAGGTGCAACAGGGTCATCAGTAGGGGTTCATCTGGCTGGTAGGAGCAGTGACAGCTGGCAGTAATGATTCTGGCAGGTCACGTGACTTTGGCATGTTTCAGCAACTATATATTTTGTGTTCTGTGTTCCTCTAGCTCTGACGAATTACATTCATACATTATTGTTGTAAGGGAAACAGTGATAATTTAGCTCAAAGGGAATCATTTAAGATTTTAAAGGGAACTCCACCAATAATATGTAAGGGAATTTGGACAGAATCACTGTTTACGGCTGATCACTGAGACGGCCAGCGATTCAGTGAACGAGCCGTATGACATCAACTCTGCAATGGATATTTATTTCCAAAATATAGTGAAAACACTATTAATTAGCACAGTAACAAGATCGGCAGTTTAAGACATTAACTTGTAAGCACAAAACACAAGATACTTCTCTTTTCAATATAAGTCCTTTTAGTGTCATTTAGATGCATGGAAAGGCAGTTTCTATAGCCATTCTGTGAATGTATGAAGACCAGAGATTAAGAGGTCTGTAAGGAATCTCTGAAAGTCTGTTCTTTGTCTATTAGGTGGGGGATGTCAATTCTAAAGCACTCGTGATTGTAGTTACTATCACGTGATGGTCATGCGGTCATCTCTTTGACCATTTAATCTTGATTACTTGCCCTAAAATTGACAATCTCCTTCCTGAGTTGTTATGATCAGTGTGTTCCTTTTGTGTTAATGTTGAAAGCTGTTCTGTGAAAGAGTTGGTTAGGCTTGCTTCAGACTGGCTAGTGCTAGGGTCTGATTTATGAACATCCTGTTGTCTTGGGCCTCTGTGGGCTCCTCATGTTTCAACCATGTTTTGACCAAATCTTCGATTGTCTGATTCGGTCTGATACCCTACATTATGTATCTGTTGATATGATTGTTATTTTACATGATTTGTGTTTTAGGTAATTTTATCCTAATTAAAACAGTCAAATGTCCGTGATCCCGACTGGCCAGCCACCCGCTGTTATACCACTCTGCCAGCGACTGCCTTATTTGGGATAAACCCCCCTGAAACGTCAATCATACAAAAGAATAGATTCAATAAAGTATATTCATAAAATGGAAACAAATTACCTTGCAGCGAGTGATAGGCAACACTCTATACTCGCAGCTCAACAGCGGCTGGCTGGATTTAATTAGGATAAAATTACCTAAAAGACAAATCATGTAAAAAAAAAAGCATAATCATATTAACAGATGCATAATAATATAAGAATATAATTCGCCAAAGCAAGAGAGGGAGGAACGCAAAAATCAATGATTGCTGACATTTGCCAAAGTGGACAGGTCACGTGTCCTGCCAGAATCATTACTGCCAGCTGGCACTGCTCCTACCATCCAGCTGAAGATTGAACCCCCACTCTGTTGGGTTTGTTACTCCAAAAAATGTATTACTTATTACAAAAGTAATATTATTATTTTACTTATAACCCCCTGCCAACAGCATTTGCTACTCATTAAATTACTTCTAATATATAAAAAGCCTACCATATTTGGTTTGGAGCTTGAACATTGTAAACTCTATGCCGAATTGCATGCCGTCGTCTAAATGCTCGCCCAATAGGATCAACTTCATGAAGGCTCTGTCTGATACGCCAACGTTGAACTCGAATATTGCATGCTCTAAGGCTTCCATGAACATATCTTTCTCCTGCATTAGGCGTGCATTCCAAAATATTCCTTACAGCTCTGTTAAGAGCATGATTTGACATTCTGGTGTATGTCAGTGGCTGAACATCAAGACGTTGTCTGTGTCTATAAAGTGTACATCGGCTAATGCCCAAGCAATTTGCAGTTCGCTGCCAGTTCATACCTAATGCAAGGCAGTATGAGATCTGCTCATGAGAGATGGCAAAACGAGGCCTTCCTGGCAAGTGGGTCAGAGTTGTTGGAGTAACTATCTCTTCAGCTGGTCTTTGCATGGAACCATATCTCTGCTCTAGTGAAGACAAGCATCTGTGCAAGGACTCCAGTTCCCGTAAACAGGAATTGTACTCATCCACGGCCCTTACAGCTTGCAACAATGAATGGATGGGTTCTTGTGTGATCCTCAAGTTCTCTGAGCAGGGTTTCTATATTCATGCCATCAACAGCTCTCTGACTATCCTCTAAACACTGCAGTGTACGTCTAAAAAAAGCTGTAATGTCGTCCTCATTGTTCCTAATGAAGGAAAACAAAGCAAAAACTTGCAGAACCAAAAATAGTCTCTGTGGGGACATTTTGAAATATTGAAAGACAGCTGTGTGACTTTCCTTTTTCAATTTCCAAATGCTAGAAAGCATTTAGCCAGAGAACAACATTCCTGGCCAATGAAATCTTTAGAATTGGCTGAGGGGCGGGGTTTGTGCTTAACTGAGTCAGAGGCTTTTTCAGTATGAATGAATTTCACTAAGGTTGATGAATGTTTTCACTGGTGTGTGTAAGAGGTTTTCAGTTATGTTTATGAATGAATTTCACTAAGGTTGATGAATGTTTTCACTGGTGTCTGTAAGAGGTTTTCAGTTATGTGAATGAATGAATTTCACTAAGGTTGATGAATGTTTTCACTGGTGTCTGTAAGAGGTTTTCAGTTATGTGAATGAATGAATTTCACTAAGGTTGATGAATGTTTTCACTGGTGTAAGAGGTTTTCAGTTATGTGTATGAATGAATTTCACTAAGGTTGATGAAAGTTTTCACTCGTGTGTGTAAGAGGTAATTCAGTTATGTGCATGAATGAATTTCACTAAGGTTGATGAATGTTTTCACTGGTGTCTGTAAGAGGTTTTCAGTTATGTGTATGAATGAATTTCACTAAAGTTGATGAAAGTTTTCACTCGTGTGTGTAAGAGGTTTTTCAATTCTGTGTATGAATGAACTTCACTAAGGTTGATGAATGTTTTCACTGGTGTGTGTAAGAGGTTTTTCAGTTCTGTGTATGAATGAACTTCACTAAGGTTGATAAGTGTTTTCACTGGTGTGTGCAAGGTTTTTCAGTTATGTGTATGAATGAATTTCACTAAGGTTGATGAATGTTTTCACTCGTGTGTGTAAGAGGTTTTTCAATTCTGTGTATGAATGAATTTCACTAAGGTTGATGAATGTTTTCACTCGTGTGTGTAAGAGGTTTTTCAGTTATGTGTATGAATGAATTTCACTAAGGTTGATGAATGTTCCCTTTCATGGGAACTTCGAACTGCGTGTCTCCGAGGGGGCAATCGGCGTGCACTGTGAGCGTTTTTTCCA